GGGCTGCGGGCTGAGGAGGGGGGAATTGGGCGCACGGCGGCAGCTGCGGATCAGATTCCGGTTTTGTTGTCCGGAGGGACGCGCACACACCATAGCGGAGACCCGAGAGAAGTACCCCGGAGTGCGTAGGTTGCCCTCTGGGACACCGCTTCTCTGGGTCCCTCTGAAAATACCATCAGGGTAGTGAGAGGCGGCAAGTCTTGCCCCCTCCCTTCTCCCACGTCGCCGGCCAAAAAAAATGAACATTAAGATAAAGCAGCTGTTGTGGTCAATAGAAAAGGGGAGGATTGTGTCGTGCCCGAGCCACAGTGCGGGCAGCCAGTGAGGCCCACGGCGAAGCCGCCCTTGGGGGCATGTTCAGCTGGAGTGAGGTCACCGCGGGTCTTTCTAAGGGCTGGGCCGCTTGGCCCCCACGGAATCCAGAGGTCCAGAAGGTCCCGGTCAGCTGTCCAGGCTGCAATCCCCTGGCGCTGGGCGGTTGACCGGCCGGCAGTGCTGCAGGGGGGAAGGAGGCTCCGGGCTGATGAGGGAAGTTTCGTTCCGGGAGCTACAGCCCAGAATTCGCAGGCGGGATTTTTTTCCCCCCTGTCAGAGAAACTGACAAACAAGACCCTGCCTCATCAGATAAGAGTGACTCCTGCGATTTCATGGATTTTAGGAGAGGGTGGAGGCGTTGATGTTAGTAGAGCCCTGTGAATGAACATCCCCCGAGGCCCAGCGCCCGCATAAGAAGGGTTTTATTTTACTTTCTTTTGTTTGATATTATCTTATTTTCTGACAAAGTGACCTGTCGTCTGTCGCTTTGGGCTCTGGCAGGCAAAGCCCCTTTTGTGGCGCTGGGGATGGCCTGCAAGGTGTCCACCGCAGTCCACAACAGCGTTCCCCGCCCCCTGTGCCCGCACACAGCGGGATGAATTACAGACACCCGTGGTCAGCACAACGCAAACGGCCATGTACAGTGACACTACAGAAGGCCCTGCCAGTTCATCTGGGAGGACAGAGAACGATGCCATCAAGCTTCATGTGGGTACAGCAACCCCACCCAGATACCCACCCAGAGAAGCAGACATGAGGGGGCTGCTGAGACAAGCAGAACGGGGGAAAGCACCCAAGAACTGGGTAGCCGCTAATCTGGGTTCCAAGTCACATTCCATATGCTGCTCCACTATCTTCTTAGGGACAGCATAAACGCCTCAAGGTCTCATCTCCCTAGAGGGACGAGGGTAAATGTTCTTGTCCAGGACTGCCGGCTGAGGGAGGCCGGGGTGGGGGGATGGGGTGGGGGCGGGTCCCCCGCTGCTGCAAACTGTTGGCGGAGGCAGAAAGACTTCACTGCTTCTGGACAGAGAAAGCATTGGTGGAGGGAGTCTCGAAGCTCTAAGGACGCTCTAAGGTACATTTGGTTGCAGCATCAGCGGTCCATTTTCTAAGTTGATAGAACAGGAAAGCAAGCAAGCAAGCAAACAAACAAAAAAACCCACTTTGGAGTGGATAAAAAGAAAAAAACAGAAGAGGGAAAAGATAGGAAAAGAAAAAGACAGAAAGCACGAGGGTGGGGCAAATACCTTAAACATTTTTGCAGGAAGAATAGGAGAACTGGCTCTAGAAGGATCCATCAAAGTCAGGGGATGCAGACACATAGCCTGATCAGGGAGGGCCCAATGAGTCTGAACTTCTCTTAGCTCTTCTGAGAGAAGGAAAAAAAAAAAATGCAGTCCCCGACACAATCCCCTAAAAGTGAACACCTTTACCATATAATTATTAAGTATTTTTTAAATATTTAAAAAGGGAATTTAGATGGTTCTTTTAGTCATTCTTTGGCTGAGTAACTTTAACTTCCAGTATCTTCTGCTTTCCACAACTGCCACTGAACTACTAACAAGGCATTGTTATAACAGGAGTGGAAATGATTTTTTTAAAGGTAATGAAGTAGAATTAAATACATCTTGAGTGGGACATTGTATTTCTTGCAGGCCTTCTCTAAGCTTCAAACAAAATCTAAAATCAATATTTCCATAAAATGCTTAAACTACTCGGCACAGAAGTGAAAGAAGTTAAGTATCCCCCACACAATAAATTCTGGTGTCTGTCTTTTCAGGTAGAACGGCAACAATGAGAAGGCCTCCTTTGGTGGTGGGGTGGAGTAGGGTGGGTCATAAATAAACTTTTGAGATTAAAGACCTGAAAAAGTAAATTAGTAATGTGTATAGATAGTTTAAAATTTTCCTTCTGAAAATCTGCTATAAGAAATTTCTCCCGTTTACTCCGAGACCTCTCTTCCCTCAGTCAACCACGTTTCTGGCTTCCCCGTGTGCTTAGATTAACTGCAGCTTGCAGGGGGGTTCTATAGGATAATCAATATATTCATAAAGGCCTCTGATCTGATTACATGTTTTTTTTTTTCTTTCCTCTCAAGAACTTAAGTCGGCGAGCCGGGGACTCCCAGCGTTGCTGCGTCTGTGAGCGCCGGAGGCTGGGGAGTCCTGGCGACGGCGGCGAGGGCGCTCGTGGATTAGGTTGTGGATTGCATGGCAGACCTTTGTTTGGTCACATTCTCGACGGGGTTTGGGGAGGGGGGGAGTCGTCCTCCTGGGAAATCGCGCCAGGTTTTTATAGACTCTCCTTAAAAGAACTCACCGCTCTTCATAGGGTTAATTTATGGGGCTTTCGAGGAATATTGGGACTTTTAAGACGTTCTTTATCCCCCCCCTTTTTTTTGTTGCACTCCTAAAAGGACTCCTGGATTTCAGCACCTCGCAGGAAGAGGGTGGGAGTGGGAGAAAGAACAGGGCCTAGAGGAGAAGGGGAGGGTTTGCCTCCTAATCAAACTGCCTACAGGGCCCAGGCTGCCCAAGATATTTTTAAGAATTAAGTTTCTAATTATGCTGTGGGCTGTAAAACTCAGGTTTAAGAACTGGGAGGAAATTGAGACAAACGTGAGCCACATTCACCTTTCCCCAGGTCTCCATTAATTTGAATTCAGGATCAGAGTAAGGAAGAGTTTGGGGCCTTGAATTTTTAAAGTTTAAAAACCAAGGACCTTCGGGAGAGAGGATTAGAGTAACAGGTGAGGAGGGCAGGGAGGAAAAGCCCCTAGACCACGAACTGTCTGCTTGTTGCTGCCCCAGACCCCCTGCCTCAAGGCGCTCAGAGGTGGGCGGCTGGGGACTGAAGGCCTGGGAGGCCCGGGCTCCTGGGGGCCCGACCTCCCGCTCGCCATCTTTGATCCTAAGCGGAGGAGGTTGATGTTCATGCTATAGATTACCTTAAAGGTTCCTTTAAGCACTTTAATACACAACTAGCTCAGAAATCATTAAGAGACCTAGAGAAGAAGAAGAAATACCCTCACACTCACCGGTAATAAATGTTGACATGCAGCAAAAATCGATTGAGTGGAACCGAGGTGGTGGCAGTAGAGATGGCTGGAGGGGGGCACCGGCATGGGAGCGGGAGGGGCGAGGGGACCGACTCCGCTGGCTCGGGAACTAGGTTTTTCTCACTTAAAGGGAAAAGGAGGTGCGGAAAGGGGCCGGCGGGCGAGGGAGGATGGGTGTGGGGAGGCGGGGGAAGGGTGAGGAGGGTAATTCTTCCTTCTGAATGTCCGGGGAAAGGACCTGAGGTGGGAGAAAGGGCCTCTCATCAGTCCCGAGTCTCCGCCCCCAGCCCGCACCACTCAAGTCAGGGAAGTGACAACCCTTCCCAAACCTCGACTTCCATTTTTGTTTCCTGCAGATTGATTGATTTCCTCGAAATAGAGTTCTATTTCAGCAAGCGAACTAGGCAGAGATTCACCTCCTGCACCCAGCGTTCCCAAGTCACTCTTAGACCTGCAGACTTAAATCCTCCCAGCAGGTCTCCTTAACGCTTCCAGCTCCCCATCCCCAAATCCCCTCTCCCAGTCCCTTCCCCCGCCGCCCCTCCCCCATACCAGGCGGAGGCTCTGGGCGGCACGGACGGACGAGCCCCGCGGCTCCAGAAGCCAAAGTCCGCCCGTGGGGACCATTTTCCTCTCCACTGCTCTCAAGTGAACAACAAGGACCGAGGTGACCCTCGTCCAAAGGGCTTTTATCTGCCCTCCACTGCCGCGTGATCCCTCCGCAGGTCTGAGGATGAGCTTAAAAAAGAAAGACAGTTAATGTACATTAAGCACTGGTCTTAAATAGGGGACATTATCTGCGATCTCTTTAAGTGGCAGCAGCAGTTCCGTGCAGAACAAAGACTCAGTGTCTGAGCTCCAGAAGCTATAGGTAAAGTTTCAGTCAGATAAAAGCAACCTGAGCGCAAAAACACAGGTTTTCTCGCCCCAGAAAAACCGGCAGCTACTTTTCGTTCCCGATTCCCCAGGATGGTGTTTGTCCTCGCCCATCGCGGGGGGAGGGGTGGTGGTGACCCGAATGGCAAAAGACTTCAGAGCTCCCCCCACCCCCCACCCCCCGACACACGCCGACCTCCCCTTGCGCCACGGTGAATTCTTTGGGACTAAGTTGTATTTGCTACTCTTAGTTACAAAATCAGATTTCACATTAAAAAAAAAAAGCTGAAAACCACCAACAAAGGGAGAGTGGGTGCTTAAAGTTCTTTTAAACACTCACACCGACCTTATTCCCCTTTTAGATGTCAGAGGATGGGAGGGAGGACCAGGGCTGTAATTCATCTTGATTTGCTTCATTGTCCCGGAGTTTGCAAACTATAATCCTGTATAATTTCAGGAACAAGCAGGTTTAGAATTAATGGGTCAATATTATTTAAAACAAAACACAGGGAGCATGACCTTTGCCTCAACTACATATTGCTCGACAAGACTCAGGAAACTCCACTCTAACCTCTCAACCCCTGGGCTCTTTGAGAAACTAAAGGGCTATGGTTATTAGAAATGGTCTTTGTTTCTTTTAATGTCTTGAAAGGATTTGGAAATAGTAATGTAATATAACATGAAGAATCTCTCTACTTAAGCCTGGAAGATAAACGTGGAGGCCTAAATATTTTGAACTGGAGGTGTTTCCTTGTAAACTTATTATAGATGTATTCCTCTTGAGAGGAAAGTATATGTACTGTACATGTATACATACACTCATACTTCTCTAGAACAATTTACTGGATGTGCAGCTCTCCCCTCCCCCAAAAGAGTAAACTTGAGACTCATTCCAAGCTAATGTACTTTCTAAATTTCTTTCTCCTTTCTTCTTTCCCTCTTATATTATTTGCTAGCAATAATGGAATCCTCTGGGTTTAAGCCAAACAAAAATCTGGGAGACAAGACCAGACTTTGCAAGTTTTTTTTTTTCCTGAGAGTGTCTTTTTTTTTTCTTTTTAGTTTCTGATGAATGACTATAATTTATTTCTACCAAAATTAAATAAGTACTGCTGCCTTGTGTATTTAACTAGGCAGGCAGAGGGAACTGGTTTGTTTAGGAAGCAGTGACTGAGAAACCCTGGACAGGTGACAAAGGAGGGCAGAAAGAATCCAGACCAATCTGTATGCAGTATATTTTACTCCCATGAAATAAAACACATTTTTTTCATATTTGCTGAAAAGTAAAACAATAATATTGTACGAAATGTTATACACAGGGTAGGTTGTACATAGCAGTTTCAGAAACATCATTGCATCCACCAGAGAAACTATTCTAAAACTGATATTCACACATTTTTTTATAATAATATGTTAGAAACATACAGTGTGGCATTTAGTATATACATTCCTTTGCTCGCAAGCGAAAAATCCTAATCGCTTCTGTATAACATGCTTTATTTTAAAGCCTAACCTTTAAAAACACTGTTGTGATATTACTAACAACTGCTTTTTATAAAATTAATTTGACATTTCGATATATATACATCCTTTCAGTCATTTTAATGTTAACAATGCTAAACTTAAAAAATAACAAGCTTATAGTAATGTTAAAATGTCATATCCAGTCAAACATTTGTGTGTGTCCTTGCAACTGTTGGAAATACTTTTAGTGAAAGATGTCAAACTTGCGGAAATTCCTTTGAAATCAAAGGAGCTTTCTTTAATTCAGTGGTTTCCTTTTCTTTCTGTCTTCTCATTCTCTCCCTTTCTTCAGCGCCCACGACCTTCTAGCGTAATCCCCAGTCTTTCAAGGGCAGAGCTGCCCCCTCCGGCACGGTCCTAGGATCCCGGCGCAGTGGGCGCGGCTCACACAGGCCGGTCCACGGCGTACTGGCAAGCACTCAGGTTGGACGCCGGGTTCTGCACGCTGGCGTAGCCGAAGCTGGAATGCTGCTTTGCTTTCAGTCTCAGGCTGGCCAGGCTCGAGTTACACGTGTCCCTATAAACGTACGGAGGAGTCGGCGGCGCGTAAGGACAGGCGGGCGTCGGCACCGCGGAATTCAGCGAGGGGCTGCTCAGGTTGTTCAAGTTATTCAGGCTGTTGAGGCTGGAGCCCGGGACGCCGGTCACCGCTGAGGGCACCATGCTGGACGACATGCTCATGGACGAGATGGAGTTGGGCGGGGAGAACATGCTCTGCGACGACAGGGGGTTGACGTTCATAGAGTTGAAGAAAGGAAAGCTCTTGGTGGACAGGGAGGCCGACGTGAGGCCCTTGGCAGCCCAGTTGTTGTATGAATAGCCCGGGTACATGTCATCGTAGGGCTGCATAAGCCCGTTGAACTGCGGCCCAAAGCCATTCTTGCACAGCTCGGCCTGCTGGTTGCGCTCCCGCTTTCTCCATTTGGCCCGGCGATTCTTGAACCAAACCTGGGGGTGGAGGGCAAGGGAGAAAACAGACGCCACAGTCCAGATTAGTAAAACCTTGATCCCAGAAAACACCAGCGGCCACCCTCCTCGGACACACATCCATCCTCGCCGCCACTATCCCCGCCCCGCGCCCCAAGCTGCCGGAGCCCGGTCCAAACCAGGAAGGCCCGGCCGGCTCAGGCCTTAGACTCCGGGCTCTGAATTGTGCCACAAACCCCAGGCCAACGCCTGGGGGCCTGCGGGTGGCTTGTACACTAACCCAGGCCCTCCTCAGGGTCCAAAAACACTTACTGAAAAATAAACGCGGAGCTGTGGGCTCTCGGCCCAACCCTTCCGCGTTCACCTTGCAAACTTGCTTGCATTCCAGAGCCACAGAGATGGACAAGGGGCTGGGAGGGCACCAGCAGCCCGCGCTGTCTCCATACAACTCCCTCCCTTCTCGTATCTCCACTGCCGCCCCCTACTCCAAGGAAAGTGCGCTCTCAACAGGCGCAAGGCTACGACCCCCTTTCTCGCCTATCAAATCAACCAAATAAAAAGCAAAAGATCACCTCTCCAACAGCTCATTAAACTCCTCGAGCTAGGCGTGTAATTTCCGAGACTCCAGAACTAGTCGCTCTGCAGCCTTCCCCTTACTTCGCTCCGCTCCTTCACACCCTCCACCCATCCCAGGCCAGGCCCGCGCGCTGGGTGCCGCTCCGACTGGCTGGGCCTACCCAGCCCGGGTGTTGGGCTTTGCAGTTGGCTGGCCAGCCCCCACCCACGTCCGGTGTCCCCGACGCAACCCCACTCTCAATCCACATCGGGCCCGCCGCCGCCCCAGACGGCGTCTTTTGTGTATTGGAGCGAGGCCTGGCCCGAGATTTCCGAGCTGACACCAGTGATGTTTCACATTACACATCTCAGCCAGGACCAGCTGCCTAATCCGCTTTTTTCCCCCCTTTCCCTTTCATTCTCGATTTCCTTCTTATCCCCCTTCCTTTTTGCACCCGACTGCTATAAAAAGCATGCCTCACTACCCACTTGGCTGGACAAGCCGCGGGTCTGGAAGGAGGCTGACGGAGGGAGAGAGAGCCCAGCGCTGCGGCGGCGGCGACTTGGGAGGGACTGCAAAAAAGCCGGAGGGGTGGGGGAGGGCTTTTTCCGAAGGATTCCAGAGAACCCACAGATTGTGCTCTCATTTTAATTACTTGCCATTTCTACCCTGGGCGGTCTAAACTTTGCCCAGGAGAAAATAGTACGTGCGAGACTTGTTCCCCAGACGCGTAGGAGAGCTAAGGAAAGACTGACCTTGCGCAAAAACCACGCGGCCCAGGCTGGAGCGCAGCTCTGAGCAGTTAAACTAAAACCATTTCCAATTTCACCCCGGCTCTTTTATCCACCAGCATAGCCTCATTCTCTACACAGATGCCACCTAGAAAATGCCTTCGTTGCCTCTGTTTTGGGAACGCATTTTGGTCTTTATTCATCATTGCTATACAGTGTTTTCTTCTTTCCGTTTTCTCTGCTGTAATTGGAGGCTGTATTTTTCTATCCAGAGCTTTTTTTTTTTTTAAACAGCGAAGTCTCTCGACCCTGCTATGTATTTTTTCTACTTCCAGAATCCTAACAATCTTGGAGTTTTCCACCGACCAGCATAAACCAGGATATTGCTATTTATTTGTTAATTTTCGCCAATCCATAAAGTACAGAATTGCTACAAAGGTAAGCTCTTTCTCTAATAAAACTATTATAACTGGGAGGAAGGGTGTGAGTAACAATCTCCTGAGAAAAGATAAATAAACAAAACCGAAAAGTCTTTCCTCTTTTTTCTCTTTTTTTCTAAGAGGACTAGCAGAATAGGAGTTGTGTATTAAAATTGCTTCCGCAGATCACAAAACAAGGTAATAGGGTGTGGGAGAGATTTGAATGGCAGAAAAACTGCAAAGACCGTATAAAAGGGCAACCCGAGCAGAGAAAATGCTGGGGTAGGCCAGGAGTGAAAGTTCTCCAAGAAAGACCAACCCTTGCGTGTTTCAGGCGGGTTTTCGTTGTTAAAAGCGCACAGGTTGGAGCCTGTTCTAGGCTGCTGGCCTGGGAGGGATTTTATTAGCTCTTGTCTGGTGAATGCAAGCCGGGAACACAATACCCTGTGCAGGGGAATGCACGCGGCCCAGTTTGGGAGGGCGCTGGGTGGCGGGCTGTGAGCCGGTGTGGCTCTGGGCTTTTGCGCCAGGCCTGCAGCTGATCTCAGAAGGGGGAGCTGTAACCTCGCAACTGGGGCCACCGCGAGGCCTTCTGCCTTTGCAGAGGCAGCCCCCCTCCCAAACCCTCCCGGGCGGCGCTGCCTTCCACACTCCTCACCCCCATCTCGGTCTACAGTGCCTGCATCTCTTTAATGCCCACCCCACTAGTCCTCCCAGCCTCCCTGCGGGCTCTTACCCGAACTCGGGCTTCCGTGAGATTGGTCCACACTGCAATTTCTTCGCGCGTGGACATGTCCGGGTAGCGGTTCCTCTGAAAAGTGGCCTCCAGTTCCTGCAGCTGCTGGCTAGTGAAGTGAGTCCGCTGCCGCCGTTGCCTCTTCTTCTTGGACGGGTCTTCGGCGCCAACGTCCTCATTCTTTCCCTGCTGGCTTTTATCTTTCTCTGAAAACGAAAAGC